TATTTTTGTTTTGGTAATATACATTTCTAGTCATAGGAATAAATAATATTATTGAAATTTACAAAATATTAAATATATTGTATAAGATTTCATCTTGAATTATATCAAAAAATTAGAATGTATGTATAATGTTATTTTTTTGTCTTATTTGTGACATTTTGTTTTATCGCCCTTTTAATTACTANATTGGCCACACCTCATTCTATTTGCTAGATCCACCCTTGAGGTATAGTGATATTTTTTTTATCAAATTAATTTAACATTCATGTGGTACATGAGTTTTGTCATCTGATAATAATTCTTTAGATTCGTATTATGTCACGCAAAAAATAAATAAGATTTTTAAATTACATACTTTTATGAAAAATGTTTTCCATGGATAATTAAGGTTATATTAACCTTATGACTATGGTTGGGGAATAATAAATCTATTTATAATTTATTGTATGAACTTAGGTGATCACAAAGGTTATGGCAGTCAAATATACATATATTAATTAGGCGCATAAAAATTTAAAACCATTAATACTCTAAAAACAAACACTGTGAAAATTATTGTTAATAGGGGGTGAAGTGATCGTGGAGAAGATAAAATAAAACATTTGGATAAAAATAAAATTCAAAAAGAGATGGACAAAATAAAAACAAAATCAAGCAAATACTTTAAGTTTTGTTTTGTATTTGTTATTTTTTATATTTTATAAAAAATATTGCGTATAAAAAATTGCTAATATTTTAAAATTTATTTTTCAATTTCATTTGTATAAATTTTATTTATCTTATTGACGACATGCTTGGATTTTAAATTGATAAGTTCAAATATTTTGACTTCTAAATCAATATATTTAATACTTCAGATATCGAATTAATAGTTAACCATCTTTCAAATTTATAACAAATAGATTTTAACTTTGTTTGATTATCAGCTGACATCAAATTGTATAAACTAATAACAAATTGTATTAGCTGATTTGATTAGCGCATTCAATTAGCAGATGTATTTGATAAATAGTAAAAATTTGTAGTTATTATATTATACTGTATTTTCTTGAATCGTCAATTCCAAAACGTTGTTCTTTAAAGTTTCTTCATAATTAGAATTGTGGATAAAAAAAAATAATCAAACAAACTAGTTACCAAACAAGTAAATTAGCGAATTTGATTGGTCAAATTTGTAAACGTCACCCAATCTGCTAATTTAGCTCATATTTTTGAAATAAAATTATAATGTTGAAGCATTAAATATAAAATTGACGAAACTCATGCAAATTTTTGAAATTGGGATTTAATTTCATTTTGTTTGCATTAAATTTATATTTTTTGAAATTTCAAAATTGGGATATGATTTATTATGTTTGCATTAAATATAACTTTTTGCACAAAATGTTCAAAAACAATTGTTAAATAGACGCACGATGCTTATTGGATTATCCCAATCTGCATTTGGGCACGACTGAATACAAATTTATTCAGTTTTGACCGATTTTGTTTGATTAAATTGAGTTAATTAAGTTATTTTGAATGAAGTGGATTATGTGGATGATTTAAGTTTGAAATTAAACAATACTAGTATTCGATTCTGTGCATTAATTGCTAGCTGAAAAATATTACATTTATTATAACAATTGCTTATGTGATTTTACGAAATTTTACTATGACATAAAAAAAATTAATGTATTAATAAACAACCGCTTCATCATATAAAAAAATATTGATTTTAGTGTAAAATATAATTTTATGTAACTTTCATATATTATTTAGTATAAAATATAATTACTAATTTTAATATTAACTATTATATTTTTCAATAAAAAATATAATTATTAATCAATTAACATAAAATATAATGGTTTTTGTCTTAATTAACCCAAAAAAAATGTAATGAAATATTTTCTTATTAATGAAATTGGGTGTATTAATGCCACATAAATAAAATTTATTAGGTTTTCTTTATTAGGTTTTATTAATGATTTGCCACATAGGTAAAATTTATTAAGTTTTATTTATTAGGTAAAATTTATTGCTTAGCTAGCAATTATATATATATAGATTTAAAATCTATTGTTTAAAAGTATGAGAGATATTATTAGAATTGATAGGTAGTTAAAATTATGTAAGTGAACAAATCTATATATATATAATTGCTAGCAAAGTAATTAATAAAACTCTTTTCGTTTTCTCGCCTTTTTCCGTTACTTTTGTATTAATCACAATTATATTTTATATTTATTTTGTTATATAATTGCTACTATTAACTAATAATGAAAACACATTAAATGTTAGTATATTTTAAAACTTTTTTCAAACTATATATTTAAAATTACTATTTCTTATTTTTTTTTCACCTCATTAATCAATTTTTTAATTAAAATTAGTTAATTATTTTTTACGGCATAACTAAACCCTTTAAAATTTTGTGCCAATTGCTATAATAACAATTTCAATATTTTTTACCTAACTAATTGTCATCATCAACCAAGATTATCTAATTTATAATTTTTAAATTTTACATAAAACACACACATATATATATATATATATATATAACGTATAGAATTTTATTTGTATTTGTGCATATACATATGATGGAATACTATTAATGAACTATATATAATTGACGTGATATATAAAAATTATTGATTGATTGATAATATTTAATTATATTTATAAAAAAATATAAGAATTGAGTTAAATTGCATTTTGCGTTACATGATTGAATATGACCGATCATAATCCAATCAAGCAATCACGCCTTGAAATGTCCCGTCCCTGAAGACCAACAAAGCGATGTCATCAAGGCCCAAACTCTACTATATACTGACGTACGCATAATTTTCAAGCTCGTCATGCTCTCTTTTGCTCTTCACTTTTCCGCCAAAACAAAAGAAGAAAAACTATAATATTTTTCAATTGATTTATCTTTGTTCGATTTGTCAGTGTTTTGATGTATACTCGGGACAGAGAGTGCCAAAATTCCAGAGGTTTCATGGCGGCTTCAAATTACATGCGAGCGACGGGTTGTGTGTATGTAGTCTTAAATTGAATATGTGAAATCAATTTGTTGCCACGGATTTGCTTGAACTTATATGGATTCTAGCATCTTTTTTTATTTCGATTTTGATTCCTGCATTTGTTGTGGTGATCATTGACATTAGCCTGGTTCCTATTGAATGTAAAATGGATGAGGTAAAAATCTGCTAGGATGCGTTGGAATTGAATACTGGAGTTTTTTGAACCTCAAATTAGTATTAATCTTTGACGTGGGTGTTAATTTAGAGCTGTTTTGAGATTGTATCTTTTTTTTTTTTTGGCACTCGAAGTAGGAATCTGCTGCAAGGATGATCATTATGGCTTAAGATGAATCATGATCAATTAAGCCAAATTATTATTAGAGGTATATTTAGTAGACAAAGTTGATAGTTGAAAAGCTAGGCCATAGTTGAAAAGTTAGCTTATTGGTGTTTACGCACTCTCACTGGCAAGTCAGCTGAAAAATATCAAATTACACAAAAATAAATAGTAAACATTATAAGCAAAGTACATGTTTTCTTACACTGTAAAATACCTTAAGAGTGTAATTTATAAAGAAAAAATTGCAATAGATAATTTAAGGAGGAGAAGGCAAGAACAGCCAAAGGAGAAATAATAGCAAAGAGCTCCTAGAGCTTAGTTGAAGCTCTATTCATCGAAGGTAAGCCCTGGCCTATCAAAGTCCTTCCAACCAAACGGAGCGTATTTGGTTTTAAAGAGCTTATAAGCTTGTGATTTTTGTGTGCTTGAAACCAATGATACATGGTAACAGCAACACAGAAGAACATGGTGTGACATTAGGTTTATTATCATGGTACTCTGCCACAATCTTGATATTTGTGCATGATCTTTTTCAAATTGTAATGTTCTTTTTGTGGAAATTTAAGGAATATGCCCGTCATCTCATGTGTGGCCAATATTTCTCATCTTCAAGATATGACAATTCTTGAGTCTACCTTCTTCTATCTCCATATCCCTCAGACAAGAGAAAATAGTTGAGGCTTTTCTGGAAAACGTTGAATGGTGATTATGTGAGATGTCCATGAACACCAAACTTTTTCATTTTTTCCATTTTGACTTTTATCCTTAACTAATTCATCAGTGGTAGTGTCTGAGTGGCACTCTTGGTACATACAGTCAGTTTCAATTTGTGCATCACTGTAGGCTAAAGGGCTAGCTCTATGCCAAACACTATTTGTTGGTTAAGTGCATACATCTCTGTCAAAATTTTGTTATACACAAATATCTACTTTTGTTGTACCCCTAATTATAAAATAACAGTGAATTTTTCGTCTTGAAATAAATGTAAATAGGAAAGAAAATGGAGGAGACAAAAATATATCTTATTTATTTCCTTGAAAAAATAAAAGCATAGTTGTAAATCTTAACAGACCATAGTTCCATTAAATTTAGTATCTAGACCGAAACATGATTCTGTCAATCATGGTCAGGTAAATTAAGCCATTCATCTATATTCACTGAAGTTGTGTCCATTTCTGGGTCTGTTGTGTTTCCCCTGAAGTTGTTGGTACACACAAAAGGATTTGATGTGGACAAGCTAAAGTTAGTCGGTATATCTTGGGGCAAAGAATTCATAGGCCACGTAGGCTGTACCAAACTATTGTCATATAACTGAGGACGAGGCACATTGTTGGCTTGATTATAGTTTTGGTGGAACCCCAAATACCCAGGGACTCCCTGATAAAAAGATTCTTGTGATGCCATGGGCTGAATATTCCATTCTTGTGGGATTCCCATTTTAGCATCAACATCAGTAAACTCATTTCCAGCATTGACGTGTGCCTCTGAATGGATCAGAGATTGTATGGCATCCAAACAAGAAATCTCATCATTGAAATAATATGAGCTCTGTGTTGAAATTGGTGCGGGCGAGTTTGTTGGCTGTTGAATCATGGCTGAATGAAAATTTTGGGCGACCATTGGAAGTAAGAATTGTGTATTTTGTAGGTGTTCTTGCCCCAATGGTAATGGTGGCTGTTGGCACCTTGAATGGACAAATCTTGAAGATGAAGCCTTTGATTGCTTAGCAGTCCTAGGTTTACCCCCAATGGGGATATCCCGTAAGTTTCCACCTACAGTCCATTGTCGCTTGCAAGTCCTGCAAGAGTGCCGAGGTTGTGTGGGGCTGTGATTGTTGAAATATCGAAATTTTGTATCTAATGAGTTACAACGTGGGCATCTCAAAGGGATTGGTGGCTGCTCTTGTTGCTGGGGTGCACCTCTTGCTTGCTCCATTTCTCTCGCTCGGTAGCTCTTTCTCTCTCTCTCTCTCTCTTTATGTTTCTATATGTTTTATTGCTTTTCTCTTCTATGTTCTGTGTTCTGTAAATTGCAATTTCAGTAAAAGCTTATTTATAGAGTCAGAAAAAAAATTAAGTGTGCGAAATTGCAGTAATTATGAATGTTGTAATCTCGCGAATAATAAGAGTAAATCTAAAAAAATACGATTTCAAAGAGGCGTAGAGATAATAAGTCCATTGACTCTCGTTTGGTTTATATAATATAATGGCAAGAAATAATTACGTGGATGTGGATGCATTAAAGGGACCATGGTTTGGCCGTGATCTGGTTTGACATTGTAGATGAGTTTGTCAGTATGGTTATTCTCGCAAGAGTAATAGAGATTAATTTTAATACATCAGCGCCTCTTTTACACGGTGTGACGTAATTTCCTCTACACCGAAAGAGCTTTGCAAATTTAAGTGCCAAGCACACTTTACAAAATTTCCAGTTGACATCAATCCACTTACTTTTGTAAAATGTTCTTATTGACTGACTCACCCGATTGCTCTCAAACCTCATAATATAAAGCTTTAGTAATAACCCAGTCATTTTTGTGGTGGAATATTTATTTTTATTTGGGGAGTCAGTGAAAGGGATCTTTGTTTGATTGCCAATTTAATTTTTACTTGTGTTTTAAAATATTTATGTGTTTTTCCATATGTTGTATGTTAAGCACGATGCAGCCTTTAAAGTAGCTAAACTTAGATCACATATTTTGTTATGCAGGGATTTGACTTATCATGGATATCTTGCGCTATTAAGGTGGTTGGCAGAGAAAGTAGGCCGTTGGCATAATCATAATATTATCTATGTCGTCACTGAAATATCTATAAATCGTATAAGCATCGGCAGGTTTTATTGTGCATTCTCCTTTTTTATCTTTTATTTGACAGTAAGATACATTCTTGAGCCATATAAAATGACTTACTGATAACTGATTTGACAAAATTTAGTCTGGAATCTTGAAGTCACAGTGCTTTTTGGAAGTGATTTGCTTATTTATTTATGTATGTTTTGTAGCATCATATCATATCAGGACTCATCGTTTAGTACATTATAACGAGACATCGAATAGCACTAATTGTAGGTTTGCAGGTTTATTTTCATTGCTGATAATATGTCTCTTCTTGTTCGAAAAATGGTAGACATTTCTGTATTGGTTTGTTTGAAGACTATGGTATGGCCTCCACCAAGTAGAATCTGTCCTGGCTGGTTTTCTGTTGTTGGTTATTTCTCGTAATCACACCATGAGCATTGCTAAGATATTATCATGTTAGAGCAACAATTGGTGAACCGTAGTGGGGTTGTAGTTGTCATCTGCCAATATACTGAGATTGTGCCAGATTATATGATCAAATAGTTTTACATAAAATAATTTGCTCCTTAGCCACAAATGAGTTAGCATCTATAGATGCTGCTATTCAGAAATTATCTTATAAATTGGGCAGTGCTTGAAGGCAGCGAACTAAGGCCTTACAAACTGCAAAATGCCTACCACATTAATTTTCCAGCATATTATCATTTTATGAACGTCTTTTTCTTGGACTTTGCATAGAAGGTAAACTGATCACTCATTTAGTTTTTATTTATTTATTTATTTAACTAAAAATGAACTGAAGCAACAAATGAAAGAAGGAAGTTACTATTATGTTAACGAGATCTGTGCTTATGCTGCTTTATACACGATCCATCTGACATTGTATTTTATGGACCAAGTTAGAACAACGATACATACTAAAATATTAAGGATTCAGCTGGAGCAGATATCCTACTTGCTAAACAGCTTCCTGCAATACCAAAAAGGGCAATCACGAAGACTGCCAATACCTTCACCAGTGATTAACTCATTTATCAGATCTTTAAAGATCAGACGCTCAATGTCCAACACTAAAGCTGGAACCTCACCACCGTAATTCACCCAATCATCTTGATACATCATGTCTGCAGTCAGGAGTCTGTTCATTTCATCTTCCTCATCATCAAGACTGCTGTCCTGTATCCTGCAGGCACGGTCCATCTCGATATACACTTCTTTTAACAGCACCTGTGGACTAGTCATTTTGTTCCCTGATGTAAACAATCCGCCCGAGGTGATCTTTCGGACAAGTGTTTCATCAACCAAATCAAAAATAATTTTTCTCTCTATTCTTTTGTTGTTCAACTTCATGATATCACTCTTTGGACTGATTTCCTCTGTTTGCTCGAGGACATGAAACATGTTAGGGTTTATCAGATGGCATGAGGAAAGGAGCTGATCAGCAGGTGAGATGACGCTCGGATGTTTGAGGAGTCCTGATGTCAGCAGTATCCTGTTGATATATTTGTGATCTGGGTGGAGGCTCTGGTATAATAGTGAATGGTGACCCACAGCCGTTGGATCGGGCTTGGTCGACAATGTAAGCTCTTGAACTGAGTTTCTCAAGTTCTCCAACTTCTGGTTGTCCATATGAGCATGATTTGGTCTTTTGCAGTTTGTTAAATGATTTACATTCTCGAGATGCCATTCTGCTTCATCTGGACATGTAGTCTCGTCTGTTATATACAGTTTGAAACAAACCAAACAGTTAATTACTCATATGATTAAATCACAATTCTAGCATGTACAAGTGAACAGGAAAATCTATAAGTTGAGCCTAGTGATCCCTCTAATATTTTATTTTTTTGCAAGTATTTTTTTTTTCTATACTGAAACAGAGAGATAAGCAACACAGGTGGTATAACATATCCGCTATATACACTAACGAGAGTTCAGCTATTTTTTAATGAAGTACTCCAGATGTTAGAAAGAGCTTCCTAATTTTGCCTACATTATGAATTGCATCAACTCTTGATATATTCTTGATATATTTCGAAATTCAAATGTGATCTGACCCTTGTTTTAGTGTTTTAGGGAACCGGCGCAAATGCTTGACTTTTAAATGAATGGAGGAAATGAAAATAATATTTGATGCTTGAGTAGTTACTTCTGAAATAGACTGATTCTCAGAGCATACAACAATACCTTGAAACACCGTTGATATCTTCTTCACTGGAGATGGTGAATCTTCACTGTAAAATGTATTATCAAGAACTGAGATTGGACTTGGTTGTTCAGAAATGGTTATTACTGGTTTTACTGCAGGCATGTCTTCTCTAATCATTGACACGGAATTCTGAGGACATAAAAAGTACACAAGTCAGCTAATGAGAAACATCTAACTGGAGGCTGCAACTGCATAATGTAATATATATTTAACATACCTCTTTTTGTGCAGCATCTGTATTGACTAAATGTACCAGGTCTATAACATCTGTTGCTGCCTGTGAGACTTGGCTGTTGCTGCTGTCTGACACTACAGAAGCTGTGTCGTGCTGATAGCTCGAATGCCTCGTCTCACTGCTAAGCTCACCCAAGTGCTCATCACTGAACTGCATATCATTTGGTTTTACTTTGTATTTTCTGTTCCGAGAACCTTTTTCCGTAAGATTCTTTCTGCAATGATTTTTAACCTGGACCGAGTCTGGTGATGGGGTGGTGGGTGGAGATTGTCCTTCTATCCTGAGTACATTATGTTGCAATCTTGGGCTCACCACTACCTTCTTGCGCTGAGGCCCCACCATAGTTCTATCTAGTTCTGAAGCTCCCCGAGAAGTCCTTTTGTCTGTAGAAAATATTTTGTTCTTGGATGTGAGCACTTTTGTTTCTGGCCTGGTAACTGAATTTTCCAAGTAATACTTGGAGTTTCGTGTCCGGACTTCTTGCTTATTTGGAATTGGAAATCTGACTTTTTCCATCACTTTTGCTGGTTTGATTATTGGAACTGGCGAGCCTAATTGCTTTGGATTGCAATGACCCTCGATGGTAAGAACTCGATTGTTACTTTTCCTCTGTAATGTGCATTGTATAGGCTCTTCCGTTCTTTCTTCTAACCGCTCTCTCGTTTTCTGCATTGCTTCAAGTATATGTTTAAGAGCCCTGAGATCCTTACCCGACTTCTGGAATTGAAGTTCTGTTATCCTCTTCTCGATTTCACCATAGACCGAAGAAGATACGTTTCGGCTGTTAGTTGGTGATCTCCTTTTGTCTAAGGCTACTTTCGCAGAACCTTGGCTCGAATCTTGTTGCCTCCACGGAGCTGGTTCGATCGGAATTCTTGAACACGTATTCGTTTTTCTACCAAAATTCGCACCATGAGATCTTGGGGACGGTGAGGCGGGGTCGTTTGGAGGAAATCGAGGTGAAAAATAACTAGCTTGATTTTGAGGTGTTAAGGATGAGTTTTCAAGGAAAGCTTCGTTAGGACACGATTTTGTTGTTGGGGTCCCATTCTCATCTGCGGTGGGGTCCGGGAAGTTTTCAAGACCCATCAGCTTTGCCACAATGCTGGATGTCCGGTTGTGCCCGGGATTCTCGTTTTCCGCATGCGGGTCCTGGTCGAGGAAATTCCTTCTCGACTCGTGGGCCCAACACTTCTTCATGGAACTAGCTTTGCTGTCCAACGACAGCCTCGGGAGTTCTTTGTGCTTCGCCGCGGCCCACCTGAGCCCATCCCGCGATTCTCTCCCGTCGTAAGAAAAACGAGGAAGGCCAATCGACGGCCGCTCGTCCTTTGAGATTCTTGTGATCTCGTGGGCCCCAGCAAGAACTCGACCGGATCCTTCGGATATTAATATGTGCGGTTTTGGTGTTTTGGGTTTGGATTGGGGTGGGGGCCTGGGAGAGTCTACATGTTTCATCACGGTGCCTTTCTTTTCATCTTTAGGTGCTCGGTGTTTGATGGACAGGCCACGGGCTTCCCGATACATTGAATCTTTCACTACATCACGAAGGTCGAGGGATTGTGGTTCTTTAGTGCTTTCGGGTTTATTTTTCTGTCTGAGTGGAAGTGTTTCGGGCTGGGCTATTCTGTTGAAATCGAGGGACGACGAGAATGTGGATGTACAAGAAGATTCGGTGGAGATTCTGGGTTTCTCCTTATGCGACTTGCGAGCTTTTTCCTACAAATGTAAAAGTTTTCCTTTTCAACTACCTCTGTAAAAATTTGATAAGTTACCACTCTGAATTTTGTAACATGACCATAATTTTTTTTTCCTTTTCCCAGAAAAGAGAAGGGAGAAAGGTATGTTTGGGATCTTACGGTGATGGCGCCGGTTGCATACTGGGGTTCCAGTTGGTGTTGTGTACCTTGAAGAACACAAAAGGTGCAGTAATTTAGCAAGAGGACGAGTGAATGATTAATCATAATTATAATTGTCTCCTTTCATGAATGTTTGCAGTTAATCTAATATTAGCTGCATTTTGAGCACTTATCATGGTTGATCCTGTGCTTTAAGTGCAGAACATAATATGCTTTTGAAAAATTATACCTATCAGAATAATGACACTCTTAATTAAAGAATCAAATGTAGAATGGAGTTGGATGTGGTAAAAAGTAGTCATCGTGATCAACTTGATTGATAATCTTTTAGAGATGGAGACTGCTTGTAAATTTTTATGGAGGTAATACTGTTAAAAATATGTGTATTGGAAATTGAGATATAGAAAACAAAAAAAAGTTAATTAATTTGAGACAGAAAAAANCAAGCAATGACAGCCTGATGTTATTTTATTTTCCTGTCACATAGCAATTATCTAATTTTTTCTTTAATATGAAAAAAATCAGGTCTTGGAAAATTACGTACCTTGAAGAAGCCTTTTATGATGGTGGCCGCCCACACGCCGCCCGGTAAGCAGATGGTGGCGGTCAAAGAGTTGTAAAATGCCGTTCATGCAACCAATCTGTTTTCTCAGGTCTCTGTTCTCATCTCTTAGCGAACTCATTGTTTTTGCAGACATATCCTTAATATATTCCCTTCCTTATTGCTCCAAAAATAGAGAAAAGCGAAAAGTTCTGCTCGTATCTCTGGACACAGTCAATGAGTCCTATTGATCCCAACACTTTTCAGGTCTTGCATTAAGCCCAAGAATCTGCACAGGTTTAAGAATTCGAGTGAGTTTGCGACGTGAACACATGCAGATCGATGTAAGTTCTAACATGCGTATGAGAATATTTTCGACTGGTCTTGTCAAGAAAAGTTTAAACATTCGGGTTTATGAGCAAAAGAACAAA